CCCATTTTGCATTACTTGCAATGCTAAGCCTTCCAAAATCTCATTCTCATGCTCCTTAGCCCTTGACCATCATCTCCTATTGCTCCGGGCTATTCCCTCTGCTGCTCTGATCCTCAATTCCCTTGCACCTGTCTCTCTGTCATATGCCTAGCAAAACTTCAAACCACCTCTGCTCACTGCACTCCAGCCTTACTAACTTCTTAGCCATTTCTTGAACACCTCAAGTACACTCCTGTTTCTGTACTTTCCTGTTTCTTGTCCTGGAACAGTATTCCTGAAATAACTATATAGCTTGTTCCCTCCCTTCTGTCAGGTGTCTGTTCAAGTGATACCTCCTATGTGACTGCTGCAGAAAAACCGCAATCACCCCCGGCAGGTACTGCCTTATTCTGCTTCAGTGTACTGCATTCTCTTTATTTCCATCCAACATAGTCCCACTTACCAGTTCTAACATGGATGTTTTTTCACACTGTAAGATGAATTCTGATTTTAGAAATAGTAAAATCAATAAAGTCCTACAATCTTTGACCACCAGGTGGCAGTCATCCAGTGTCACTGTATACCTGCACACCCTTTAAAGTCGCTGTCTTTGAGATTAAGTTAGGCTCAATGTTGGCCCTACATGTGCTAAGTTTAATTGCTATTTAAAATATTTCTCTTGACTTATATTGAAATAAAAAATTATCAACAACTTAAATTCAAAAGATTTTTTTTTTTAAATCAAGTATTCACAACAATGCAAACAGAGCTCTCGCAGACTGGGGGTGACAGCATAAATCAAACAGTAATTTCGGAAAACTGTTTGGCTTCTTTAGCTGACCATATGCATATTCCTAGCAATTCCACTCCTAGAAATATACTCAACAGAAATACATCCATACATTTACCAAAAGACATACAGGATAGTATCTATAGCAGCACTATTCATATTAGCTCAAAACTAGAACCTAACCAAATGCCTATCAACAGAAAAAAATGAGTTAATTCTGTGATTTCACACAATGGAATACTATAGAGCTAACAAACCACAAATATATCCCAGAAAATAAATGAATCTTACTATATAAAGTTGAAACATGGCAACTGGACACAAAAGAGTGCATACTATATTATTTCATTTCTATAAAGCTCAAAAACAGGTAAAATTAATCTATGGTGTTAAAAGTCCAAGTAGCAGTGACTGAAGAGGGCATGAGAGGGCTTCTTAGGGGCTGAAAATATTCTATTTGTTGATCTGGATGCTGGTTATACAGGTGTATTCCGTTTGAGAAAATTCAAGATGATGTATACTTATGATCTATAAACTTTTTTATGATCTATAAACTCTTTTATAAATGTCAAACTTCAATAAAAAGTATTAAGAATTTGTGTAGGCAGAAAGCACAGAAACAGGGCAATGAGTCATGAATTTGGTATTAGAGATGCAAATATATGTCAGTGGAGAAATGACTTCATCCAACCTCTTTAAAGAACTTAAGGAAGTAAATAGTTTCCTGCTGATAGGATTCCTTATCAGAGGTCAAATAATGCACCCAAAGGAAGGAAAAATTGCTAAATATCATGCCCAGCTAACTTTATTATTATTTTTATTATTTATTTAATTTTCTTTTTTAGAGATGGGAGTCTCGTCATCTTGCCCAGGCTGATCTCAAAACTCCTGGATTTACATGATCCTCCTGCTTCAGCCTCCCAAAGTACTGGGGGATAGGTGTGAGCCACCATACTTAGCTTGAAGTAATTTTTTTCCAAGACAGGGTCTCGCTCTGTCACCCAAGCCAGAGTGGTACAATCTTGGCTTACTGAAACCTCCGCCTCCCAGCCTTAAGTAATCCTCTTGCCTCAGCCTCTCAAGTAATTGGGACTATAGCCATGCACCACCAAGCCCAGGTAATATTTGCATTTATTGGTAGAGATGGGGTTTTGCCATGTTGCACAGGTTGGTCTTGAACTCCTAGGCTCAAGCAATCCACCCGCCGCAGTCTCCCAAATTGCTGGGATTATAGGTATGAGCAATGCACTGGGCCCAAAACCACTTTTAAAGAAAGAAAAAGGGGAAATTTCTTCCTTCTAATGATTATAAGAAAGCTTTCTGGCTGAGCGCAGTGGCTCACGCCTTTAATCCCAGCACTCTGAGAGGCCAAGGCAGGCGGATCACCTGAGGTCAGGAGTTTGAGACCAACCAAGCCTGGGCACCGACATGGCGAAATCTTGTCTCCACTGAAAATACAAAAATTAGCCAGGCATGATGGCAGGTGCCTGTAATCCCAGCTACTCAGGAGGCTGAGAATCATTTGAACCCGGGAGGCAGAGGTTGCACAGGTAGAGCCAAAATCACGCCACTGCATTTCAGTCTGGGCAGCAAGAGTGAGACTATCTCAAAAAAATAAAAAAAGAAAAGAAAAAGAAACAAAGTTTTTCAGAAGCATCAGGAACTGTGCTGTCTAATATGATATCTGCTAGCCGAATGTGGCTATTTAAATTAAAATTAAACAAAATTTAAAATTCAGTTCTGAAGCAGGACTGAACCACATTTCAAATGCTCAATGGCCACATGTGGCCAGTGGCAATTGTACTGAACAACACATAAAACATTACCATCACTGTAGAAAGTTTTATTGGACAGGTGATCTGGACTATTCAGGAGTTAGAAAGAAGCACAGTATAGGGGCACAAGAACATTTTATCCAATCTTTGGGGGAAAACACTCTTTTTCATCTTGAGTCCATTTTTCCATGTCTCCTTTGACGTCAGAGTGATGAAACCAAGCCACTCTGGTCTAAGAACCAAGCTGACAATATAAACTAAGAACAACAATCTACATCTTAAAGTTACATGAGTGAAAAATATTATTTATAAGCTCGTCAAAGTCCAACTTAGTTCACCAGAGTGAAAATTTACCCAAAGCCTTAGTTAGAAATAAAGTATTCAAATCTTTGTCTAATCCTTTAGCATCTAATTGAAGATGTGCAGTTTCAGGATATAACTTCAAAATCAATAAATATACTTAGGGAAGAATTCATTTATTCAAGAAACATTTGCTGAGCATCTTCTATGCGCCAAGCATAAGGGTAACAAATAGATACAAACACATTTAAATCACTAACTCTATTTAGTAAATAACACAATAGCTTAAGAATTGCAAAAATCATAAACAGGGAAGAAACCAACCAATTCTGCTCTTTGTTGGGCCTGGCAGTGATTCTTCGGAGACAGCAAGAAGGGCAGTAACAACATGCCATCTCTGGTATATTCTCTGAGGGTTGTTGACTCCTTAGCTTTTTGCTAAGCAAAAAGAGCTCCCTCAGAAAGAAAAAAGTTAAGCAGGGCTGGCATGGTGGCTCATGCCTGTAATCCCAGCACTTTGGGAGGCCAAGGTAGGCAGATTGCTTGAGGTCAGGAGTTCAAGACCAGACTGGGCAACATGGTGAAACCCTGTCTCTGCAAAAAATACAAAAATTAGTTAGGCATGGTAGCTCATGCCTGTAGTCCCAGCTCCTTGGGAGCCTGAGGCGAGAGGATCACCTGAACCCAGGAGGTGGGTGTGAACTGAGATCATGCTACTGCACTCCAGCCTGGGTGATAAAGAGAAGCCCTGTCTCAAAAAAAAAAAAAAGTTAATTACGTTCATAGAACCTATATTAAGATAAAAAAGAAACAACAACAAAAAAAACAATACTTGCCAAAATATCAAAGAATACCTTTAAAAGGAACATCAAATCATTAATATTTGTCAAACAATTACCCAATAGAAATATACTGGGAATTAAGGGGATATAAAGATATACAGTCTGTGACCTCCACCTCCAGGAGTTTTCATCTACTTTGTGACACAGAATGTTCGTGAATAATCACAATGCTAGCAAACGTTGTTTGTGGTACACTCAGAAAACAAAAACAGTATATAAACTATGAGTTGAAAGGAACCCAGAAGTCTTTTAGTCCAATCCTCTCCCTTGTCTTGAATCTATGCTACAATATTCTTTGGATTCAGTATTCCACCTAAGTGCGCTAAGGATGAAGGTATCATGGCCTTACAAATAATTCCAAAGCAATTGAAGATGGAGGCCAAAAGGAGTTGAAGACAGGAGTTAACATTCAGAGATAAAACAGGGTCATGGAAAAAAAAAAAAAAGAAAACAGAAAAAAAGATTAAAAAAAAAACAAAGAAGAAAAACAAAACAGGGTCATGAAAAAGCATGAATAGGAAAAAGGGAACTACTCTGGATGAGATAATCATAGAAAGTCTTGCTGAAGTGACATAGCTGAAAGACCTCTTCAGCCAAGCGAACAGCTGAGGAAACAAGTGTTCCAGGCAGAAGGAAGAAGATAAGCTTCGCATGTTTGAAGCACTGAAAGAGGTACACCTGGAACACATGGGGTGGGGGGGGGGGGGGGGGGGAAATGAGGTGGAAAAGCAGATAAATCCAAGATGGTATTGGACCATTGAAATGATATTTACATTAGCATAAAGCTCTTCTTTGTTTTCAACACAGCCTAATAAATTGAGCCATTTTTGCAAATATCGAGGGTACACATTATCAAAAGCAGGGCACTTACAACTTTCCAACTAAGCAATGCCACTGCCAAGAAACAAGTCGGAGTATCCTATACAAAAGCCCTAGGCATAAAATTCTTAAGAACTGTATCTAAATAAAGATATCATTTATTATGACATATGGCCAGTGAAATAGTCAGAAATATATTTACAGTAAATGAAAGTGAGAAAATTATAGAATTTGAGTTTATACCATTTAAAATTCTTAACAGAAAAATCAGTTCATTCAGTAAATATTTATCAAGTACCTACTACATGCCAGTCATGTTCAAAGCACTAGAGATACAGCAATGAACAAAACAATGATGATTTAACAATTGAGCAGATCTGCTAAGTATTTTAAAACCAGAGCTGAACCTCAATTTATTTTACATTTCTGCATTTTCTGAAGACAGAAAATAGTGTATATATTTAGTCACATGTACCTGTCAGAAAGCAAACTTACCAAGGAATTCTTAATCACTTCACTTCTATAAAATTCTGGAAAAGAAAAAAAGAACAATAAGTGATATGAAAGAAAATAAGCCCATTAACAAACTTAATCCTCTAAATTTTTAAACATATATTCCAGTAAAACATTTAAAATATTTTTAAGGGATTATTCTCTCTACATCTTTATCTGTTAAAAAAAAAAAAAAGTAAGAAGTAAATGAAAGTGTTTTAAAGGGAATGAAACACTTACTTTAACCTTCTTTACTTCTGTAAGGGTGGTTAAAACCTTTCAGATTTACTTTAGTAACTATTGCCTTATTGGCTCCTTTGTCCTCCAAATCTAATTTGAGCCCTTAAAAACCCCAACTTTTTTCCTTCCCCACTTCCACCGTCACAACTGAATCCATCTGCTCTGTTTTTCTCAAACATCTCTAATGATTACCTACAGTGGTACTGTGGAGTGAATACTGATCTAGGTTACCTAGTTGCTAGCATTTTAACCAAAACTAGCAACCAGATAACCTAAGTCCAACTTCTACCTCTGTCACTAACATTTTGTCTCTTTAATTCTCTTGGGCTCATTACTGCTCTAAGACAACTTAGAGAATTGAACTGATAATTGAAGGTCCTCAGTAAACATTAAAATTTCATGATTCTACAGCTTTCATGTATGTTGGAAAATGTTACAAAACTCAAGGATGCAATCAAAATCTGTCAGAAGTTCAGCCATTTCGAAAAACCTTCCAATATGCCCTCTGCTAACCCTACCCAAGTCATCTCTATGTTGCTCTTATGGCCAACATGGTGAAACTCCATCTTTACTAAAAATACAAAAATTAGCTGGGCATGGTGGCAGGTGCCTGTAATCCCAGCTACTTGGGAGGCTGAAGCAGAAGTACTTGTGGCACAATCTCAGCTCACTGCAACCTCCACCTCCCAGGTTCAAGCAATTCTCCTGCGTCAGCCTCTCGAGTAGCTGAGACTACAGGGGCCCGCCACCATGCTTGGGTAATTTTTGGGTTTTGCCACATTGGCCAGGCTGGTCACGAATTCCTGACCTCAAGTGATTCCGCCCCCTCGGCCACCCAAAGTGCTGGGATTACAGGCATGAGCCACTGAGCCTGGCCCAATTTTTGTATTTTTAGTAGAGATGGGGTTTAGTCATGTTGGCCAGGCTGGTCTTGAACTCCTGACCCCAAATGATCTACCCCCCTCGGCCTCCCAAAGTGCTGGGATTACAGTCATAAACCAACACACCCAGCCTAAATTTTCAAAAAGATATAATCCAAGACCTACTTCTACATGAAAGGGACCATTAGATACAAATATTTCTCTACGTAGTCATGGTAAGACTAAAGAAACAAAGCAATCACAGGTTGCAGAGCACAGTTTCAATGGCATGTTTTGGCTGTTCTACAGCATTCCATTCACTCAACAAATGCTTCATTAGTGCCTCATCCATACTCATAACAGGAAAAGTATACACTTAAGCTATGCTGCAAAACTGTTTTTCACCTAACAGATTGGTAAATATTCAAAAGTTTGCACAGGCTTGGTGGTAAAGCTGTGGGGAGAACCACTCACACATAAAACAACTCCCACGGAGGGCAATTCACATCCTCTTTGTCATAGCAATGCCACTTTGTGAAATTTACCCTACCAATATGCTGCCACTCATACAAAACAATTTGCTTATGAAGTTATTCAATGTAATACTGTGTATATAGTAAAGAGGCGGGTGGATCACGAGGTCAAGAGATCGAGACCATCCTGGTCACCATGGTGAAACCCCGTCTCTACTAAAAATACAAAAAATCAGCTGGGCATGGTGGCGCGTGCCTGTAATCCCAGCTACTCAGGAGGCTGAGGCAGGAGAATTACCTGAACCCAGGAGGCGGAGGTTGCGGTGAGCCGAGATCACGCCATTGCACTCCAGCCTGGGTAACATGAGTGAAACTCCGTCTCAAAAAAAAAAAAAAGAAAAAAAAAAACTAGAACAACCTAAGGGTCCACCAATAGGAGCCAGTTAAATTAATTATGGTGTATCTATTCGATGCAAAGCTATACAGAAAAAACAAAAACAAAAACAAAAAAAACAGGGATGCTGTCTATGAATCAATATGGAGAAAACTCTAAGACAGTAAGTGAAAAATGCAAGGTATAGAAACATAAATAGTACAGTACATTTTGTGTAAAAAAAAAAAAAGAGGAGAGAAAGGAATAAGAATATTTGTATTTGTACTTATATTTGTAGAAGGAATCTCAGTAAAGACAAACAAGAAATGAGCAACAGTGGTTATCAGGGTGGGGTAGAAAACTAAGGTGATGGAAGGCAGGTGAAAGAGAGGCTTTAATACAAACCTTTATATCTTTACATATATATATATATTTTTTTTTTTTTACCTATTAAAAAATTAAATTAAAAAGATAAAAATATTTGAGGGCCTAGTATGTGTCAAGCATGGTTCTGCATATTGGGGACAGAGCAATGAGCAAAAGTGACCTAAAAATCTCTGCCTTCATAGAGCTTACATTCTAGTGGAAATAGACATACAATAATCAAATAATTAAACATATAGTATGTCAAGTGATCTTAAGTACCACGGAGAAAAATAAAGCACAAAAGATGGAGGAAAATAATCACAATTTATAAAAGGGTTAGTCAGTGATCAAGGAGACTTTCTCTGAGAAATATATGGAATAAAAACCTGCAATTCAGAAGAAGCAGAATTGAATGGAAAAAAAAAAAAAATGGCCAGGCAGGGTGGCTCACGCTTGGAATCCCAGCACTTTGGGAGGCTGAGGCAGGCAGATCACGACGTCAAGGGATCGAGACAATCCTGGCCAACACGGTGAAACCCCATCTCTACTAAAAATACAAAAATTAGGTGGGTGTGATGGCGCACACCTGTACTCGAGCTGAAGCAGAAGAACCGCTTGAACTCAGAAGGTGGAGGTTGCAGTGAGCTGGGACTGTGCCACTGCACTCCAGCCTGGGCAACAGAGCAAGACTCTGTCTCAAAAAAAAAAAGGAAAAAAGAAAGATCTGCAAGAAGCTGGAAGCACTAGTCATGTGAATATGTAAAGGAAAAGTATCCAAGTCAAAGAAACAGCAAATGCAGAGGTTTTCAAGTTAGTTAAAACCAATGCATTCAAGCAACAGCTACAACGTCAGCTGGCTGGAACACAGACAGCTGGAGGAGCAGCAGAAGATGAGTTCGGAGAGGTAACCAAGAATCATATCATCAAAGGCCTTCTAGAAAACCATAAGGAGTTTAGCTTTTACTCTGAATGAGATGGGAAGCCACAGGAGGGTTTTGAGGAGAGAAATAAAGGGATCGAACTTCCATTTTAATAAAAGTTGAAAACAGACTGAGGGAGTTGCATGAGCAGATAAACCTGTTAAACTTCTACTTCCACAATGTAGGCAAAAGATGACGGTGGTTTGAGGATAGCAAGAAGTGATCCGGTTATGAATATATTTTGATAGTAAGAGCCAGAAGTATATGCTGAAAGACTGGATATGGAATGTAAGAGAAACAGGACAATCCAGGATAATTTCAAAGTTTTTGGCCAACGAAATAGAGTTGCCATTTTCTGATATAAGGAAGAATACAGGAAGTGGATCACAGCTGGAACATCAGAAGCTCAGTTTTGAACATACCAAGTTTGTCACCTACTAGGCTCCAAATGGAGTTGTAGAGTAGGCAACTGAATTACAGGGGTATGAGTTCAGAAGAAAGGTCAACAGGTGACATTTAAAACCGTAAGACCTGAGCCAGGCTTGGTGGCTCCTGCCTGTAATCCCAGCACTTTGGGAGACCAAGGCAGGTGGATGGCTTGAGCCCAGAAGTTTGAGATCAGCCTGGGCAACATGGCAAAACTCGGCTCTACAAACAATAAAAAAAGCTAGCCGGGCATGGTGGTGTGTGCCTGTAGTCCCAGCTACTCGGGAGGCTGAGTGGGAAGAATCACCTGAGCCCAGAAGGTTGAGGCTACATTGAGCTATGATTCTGCACTCCAGCCTGGTTGACAGAGTGAGATTCTGTCTCAAAAAATAAATAAAAATAAATAAATAAAACTTTGAGACTTGAATAAGATCACCAAATTAGGTAATATAGAGTTCATCTTCTGATGTATTGAAGATAGTCAGTATTCCAGGAGAGGACAGGCACTTACATTTCACGGGTAAGAAAATAACTATGAAAAACAAACTTGATTGTATAAAAATTCCAAGTTTAACAGGGAACCAAGTTTAGAACCTATCCATCCATTAACACAAGGCTTTGTTCTCTGGGGATATATTAACTAATATTTGATTGGAAATATCTTAAAAATAGACAATCTCCTAAAAGCACTACAGGGATGTCAAAAGTCAAAAAAATTTCACACATTTCTTCGTAAATTTCACACATATCTCCTTTGGATCTGCTGTGAATTTAGGTGAAATAAAAGAAAAATTGAGAAACCAGCATTTCAGATATTCTTGCAACAAAACACTGTCTTCTGACATTAAGAAATATTACCACTGAACAGGTGGTACAAGTGGTTCATGGAGAAGAGTCAACTGGTCTCTTATCATGGTTGTACTATATCAAGGACCAAATAATAATCATAAAATATTCACGTTTGTCATGACTGGTCTGACCAACAAGATACAGTAGCATTCACTAGAATTACTAACGAAAGGGCTTCCCAGCTCTTTCGTTAAAAGTTTACAAAGCCCAACAAAGTTCATGAATACGCTTCAATCAACCATGACATTTTGGAATAGGAGGAATTCTCAGAAATCACCAGTTCCTTCATTTTAATGATAAATTAAAGCCCACAAGAGGAAGTAAATGCCCTATCCAAGAGGCTTGACAGCTAGCGGCAGCTTCAACATCTACACTAGACCCAGGACTTCCCCCATGGTCTGTCACCAGCTATTCACGAACTGTGTGATGATTATCTCACTGAAGTAACTTCAAAAAACAGTCTATGATAACTCCTAAATTCAAGACACAATCTGAGCTAGAAGAAAGAAAATACAAAAACAAAAAAAGTCACTTTGCTTCCATCATATCTCTAGACAAGTTTTTAACATGATCATTAACCAGCCCCATGACTACTCTCTTTTTAGAAAACACTATTATGATTATTATAATTCTAATCATTGCTATCATTTTCCAAATTCCCAAAATGTGCTAAGAACTGGTGTTAATTACTATTATCAGAGGTAACACTGGGGCAAGAACACAGAAATTTTATTAAGATAATCAGGACTGATTATATAGAAGCTCATCAAAAATTTAAAATACTCCAGCTCTGTCATATATTGCTAATGATATAACCAATTAGTGAGCAGTAGACTAAATGTTTTAAAGCCTACAAAAATGCTTATACCCTTAAACCAAATAGTAACCAAATTGTTTCATTTTCCTTCTGGACACATTGGAGGCCTACATTTCCCAGTCCCCTTTCCATCTAAAAAGGACAATGTAGGCCGGGTGCAGTGGCTCACGCCTATAATCTCAGCACTTTGGGAGACTAAGATGAGCACATCACTTGAGGTCAGTAGTTTGAGATCACATGGCCAACATGGTGAAACCCCTTCTGTACAAAAAACACAAAAATTAGCTGGTAGTGGAGGCGCATGCCTATAATTCCATCTTCTCGAGAGGTGGAGGCAGGAGAATCACTTGACCATGGGAGATAGAAGTTACAATGAGCTGAGACGGCACCACTGCCCTTCAGCCTGGGCAACAGAGCAAGACTCCATCTCAAAAATAAATAAAATAAAAAATGAAAAGGACAATGCAACTGATTTATGACCAATAGAATGTAATAAAATTCATGTGGACCATTTCATTTAAAAATCTCCCACAAGTAAGCCTTCTATCTCTGGCCATACCAGAGGCCATGTATTGAGGACAGCAGCAGCCCAAACTAGGAGGAACCTGAATACCTGAGTCAATGCTTAAGAGGACAGCTGCCAAGACAGCACCTGATAACACCTGCACTGGACTTAGTGTAAGAAATATATTTCAGTAAGCCACTAAGAGTTGTGGTATTTGTTACAGTAGCTAGCATTAATCATTAAGATGAATACATTGTTTTAAAAATATGTAATGGGCTGGGCACGGTAGCTCATGCCTATAATCCCAGCACTTTGGTAGGCCAAGGCAGGAGTGGGATCATCTGAGGTCAGGAGTTTGAGGCCAGCCTGGCCAACATGGCAAAACCTCGTCTCTATTAAAAACACAAAAATCAGTCAGGCGTGGTGGTGGGCACCTATAGTCCCAGTTAGTCAGGAGGCTGAGGCAGGAGAATAGCTTGAACTCAGGAGGTGGAGTTTGCAGTGAGCCAAGATCGTGCCACTGCACTCCAGCCTGGGTGACAGAGCAAGACTCTGTCTCAAAAAAAAAAAAAAAAAATTTTTTTTTAATGCAATGGATAGACTGAAAAGTGAGAATAAAATAAATTTACATGAGGATGGTAGAATTTAGAGTCCTTTTCCCATCCTTAAAAAATATTTTAAGGCTATTTTACTATAAAGGGGCTTCTTCGTTGTATATTTCTTGACTGAATTTTTTAATGAGCAGATACTGGTACTGATATATAAAAAGGAAAAAAGAAGAAAGTTGTTAAAACAATCACTGCTTTAATAAATAATTAAAACTTAAAAAAGGTTAGGGACAGTAACTCACACCTATAATCCCAGCACTTTAGGAGTCCAAGGCAGAAGCATAGCTTGATTCCAGGAGTTCGAGACCAGCCCAAGAAACATTTAGGACCCCATTTCCACAAAAATTTTTTTCAAAGTTAGCCTGGACTGGTGTCTCAGGCCTATAGTCCCAGCTACTTGGGGGACTGAGACAAGAAGATCGTTTGAGTCCGGGAGGTCAAAGTTGCAGTGAACCATGATCATATCACTGCACTCTAGATTGGGTGACAGAATAAGATTCTATCTCGAAAATAAATAAATAAATAAATAAATAAATAAATAAAATGTCACTTGAATTTTTCATCTTTGCCACTGGACAAGATTCCAATAAGTCTCAGAACAAAAAGATGTCACCTTTTGTTAACATAAATAGATCTTTAATCATATCAAGATTTTCATGAAGATCATATGATCCATCACAATCCAACATTCCTGTCATTTTACCATGCTTCTTTCCTCTCTTACACCATCCCACCTAAGCCAACTGATTATATCTCAGTGCCTCTCATCGAATATGCATTCGAAAGGTGACTGTGATTTGTAATCAAATATATGATCCACTCTTAGAATTTTCACTTATAGAAGAATCTACAGTACAATATATAAAATTGAATTAGAAAAAACTATGCCATTCTTCTGAAATGATCCCATATATACAGGGAATTTCAGATACGAGAAGATAAAAACTAGGCCCCTATTTTATCATAATATTAAAGAAAAGAATTTTATTATATTTTCACAAAAGTAAAATTACTACAGGATACTGGATTCAATCTACTTGAAATGCTACCTACTAGACCATTAATAACTAACATTCATAAAGGAATGAGAAAGTTATCAATGTAAGCCTCAGTTATCTGAAATAACTATTCCAGTCGCCATGTTTCTTTAGTATACATCCCAACTACTCATGAGATATTTTCAGACAGCATAACAATTTAGCTTTCTAAGAAGCAGTAACAGCAGGAGGCACTGAGAGTCAATCTGTAGGTAGCAAGTCCACAGATTCCCTTACCTTTATAAATCTTTTCAGTACTACACAAGTGAAGCGTAAAGTAGGTATCAAGGAGCTGATGGCCATTTCTATTAACAATGTTCCGGGCAGCAATGTTCCGAAGATGTCGAAGACGCCGCTGAAAAATAACAACAAAAAGAGAAGGCATTCAGCCTTTTCCTCCCATAAAATTTTCTGAAAGTTGCAGTTCAAAATGAAATGTAATAGGTTGTCTCAGTCATTTATTTATTGAGCCAGAAATCATAATCCAGTCTCTTATTTATGCCTTGGCATTCCCTCTGTCAAACAGAAATGATACCTGCCCTATCTCATTTACAAGGTGGCTGGAGAATGAAGTGACGACAGACATGAAATATTTCTGAAAAGCACTATGAGTGCTACATACCTGCATAATAGCTTTAGTATTCCCTGGAACATAAACTAAGTAGTAATTTGCTTTTTTCCACAGAAGGATTCTGATAGACATGTAAAATCCATCTCACACCAACAGATAATCAAAGATTAACACATACACTCACCCCTGATGCTAGTTCAGTCTAGATGCCAGATCATCTATACAAGCAGGAAAAGAGGCCAAAGTCAAAAAATGAAAATAGTGACTTACTGGTCATTCTATCCAGCCAATAAAGCAACTGCTGTGAGCTTCAATTCAATTCTCCTTTCACCAGTAATCAATCAGGTCTCAATTTCCTAACCAGGCCCTTTTCCTAACAATTTCTCCAACCAGACTCTTTAGTGATTTGAAATGACAAGTTTGGAAATGCAAAAGCTTCATAAACAATAGTAAAAATCAACAAAAATACAAGATAAGATTAAGAGATGGCCAAATCAACTCATATCAAAAGGAGAATGTTGGCAATGCTAAAGTCTGGGCACAGCAGATTCATCCCCAAAAGCTAGTTCCCTCTGTCAGACAATTATCCTCAGAGACTTAAAAACAGAAGCCAAGTGCTCAGCTCACACTTAAAATATGCTTACAGCTCTCCCTCAGGCTGAAAGCCAGTCTACTCTCCTGGGGTAAATCTACTTTCCATTACAGGCGCAGTCAACCAGAAGAGCCCAGGTCTTTTTCCCATGTACATACCGACCCAATCCTTTCACCTAATCTAGAGATTGAGATTCTTTGAGAGAGAAGGTTATTGTCTAATAAATTTGTTTAATCCTCTAAGTATCAAAAGCCTCGAATGTATTTACAAAAGATTCCTGGGCTTACTCTAAAAGACTCATTTTTCCACAGTCTGCAATGGTTTCCATTTCACACTCTGGATTATAGCAACCATTTTCTCCTGCTACACACTGTGCATTAGCCCCTTAGGTCAAAACTTTAAAAACAGGAACCACTAATTATCTGCATATAATAATCACATCTATTTTGCCATAAGATTACAATCCTGGTCCTCTGTTCAAAGACCGGAAAATATATGGAATTAAATATCTAGGACAATGTACCAACATCCCATTATTGTTTTCAAAGCCCTCTACAGCCTGACTTCTCTATATACCATCCTTACTTCCCACCCTCAGTCTTCCTCAGACCTTCCACATGCCCAAGCCCTCAGTCACACATGACTACTTAAAGTTCATCAAAAAGACCATGCACTTTCCTAGCTCCACGCATTTGCTGATGGTAAACCCTCAATGCCATCCCTTCTCTTTAAGGAGATCCTATGCATATTTCAAAGTTTAGGAAAGAAAAATTCCTCCCCTTCCTCATTCTCCAACTGAAATTGGGGAAGGAGAATAGGGTCTCCAGGGACATAAGGCCGACCTAGAACTAAATCTAAAGGGAAACCCCAACTTTCCATGCCTAAGTAACAAAAGGACTAAAGGCTACTCCCTTTGCAACACCCCTCCATCTGATTGTTGTTTTTCACAACCAATCAGATGTTTCACATAGGAATGTAACTTTGTAATTTCAGCCTCTGATAGCAGGCCACCACTTCATTTGCATGGTGTGAATGCCAAGTGGCCAATGGGAAACCTCTGAGGGTATATGGACCCTAGAAGATTCTGTAACAGGACCCTTGAGTGGCTGCTCAGGCCTGCTCCCACCCTGTGGAGTGTACTTTCATTTTCAATAAATCTCTGCTTTCATTGCTTCATTCTTTCCTTGCTTTGCTGTGCATTTTGTCCAATTCTTTGTACAAAACACCTAGAACCTGGACAACTTTCAGTCAAGACCTGCTACCAGTAATAAAATTAGTTGTTCCCTTATTAGGATAAATAAGAACTTTGCTTCTGTCTCTACTATAGCACTTATTTTATTCAGCCTTTATTATAGTTAGTTGTTTACCATTATCTTCCCTATTAATCTAGCATTAAAAGGCTTGATAGGAACCATTACCATCACTGTACGGTTAGCATTTATTAAATGTTTACCATGTGCCATGCACTGTGCTAAATATGTGCTTCATACATGTGATCATTTAATTCTCATAACAATCCTACAAGGGTATTACTTATTATCATTATTCATTGCTTTATCCCAACTTTTTTTTTCTTTTGAGAGGGAGTCTCACTCTGTCTCACCCAGCTGGAGTGCAGTGGCGCAATCTTGGCTCACTGCAACTTCCACCTCCTGGGTTCAAATGATTCTCCTGTCTCAGCCTCCCTAGTAGCCGGGACTACAGGCATGTGCCACCACACCCAGCTAATTTTGTATTTTTATTAGATATGGGGTTTCACCATGTTGGCCAGGCTGTTCTCGAACTCCCGACCTCAGGTGATTCACCTGCTCAGCTTCCCAAAGTGCTGGGATTACAGTTATGAACCACCACACCAGACTATCCCAACATTTCTAAGTAACCAGATATAAAACAAAGAAAATAATAAATGACAGGAGATATCTCAAAATAAGGAAAGAATGCAGAAAGCAAGCAAAGGATTACACCCTATATATGTGGATATGTATCTCTCTCTAAATACTATATATATATACCTAAAAGATATAATTTGGTCTTTATACTCCTTTATTGCTACAGAGCACAGAGAAATAAACTATTCTTCAACTAAGAGAATAACTTTATGACCCATTCAATTATCATGGAACTGACTGCCTTACAAAGCAGTATACAGGACTTGGACGGAGATCAGATCTGTAATAGATGCATGGATATTATTACCAAAGAGATCTCTGCATTATGTAGCAATTGTAGGAAATTAGCACAACCACCTCCAAGACACCTTCTGATTCTAAACTCTATGACATTCTTAACTGGGTGGATTACCAATGTAATCCACTAATCCGAATAAACAGAACTAACCACATTCAGAGCATTTTATAAGAAGGTTTAAAAACTCCATAAACTGAGCAACTATACTTAAAGCACTGACTGTAAAATGTATGACTTTTTGCTCTTTTCCTTTATTTTACTTATTTCAAAAGCATTAGTGTAAGTATTCTCATTATACTGAAATTAATTAAAATACAAGATGCTTCCAAAAACTGAAATGGACAAAGAAAACAAACTTTTTCTTTTTCTTTTTTTTGAGACAGGGTCTCACTCTGTCGCCCAGGCTGGAGTGCAGTGGCAGATCGCAGCTCACTATAGCCTCAACCTCTCAGGCTAAAGCAATCCGCCCACCTTAGTCTCCCAAGTAGCTGGGACAACAGGCATATACCACCATGCCCAGCTATTTTCTTTTCTCTTTTTTTTTTTTTTTTTTGGTAAAGACAGTATCTCCCTATGTTGCCCAGGCTAATAAACTGTTTATGGGTAAATTACTGACACAATCTTGGTGAAAGGCTGTAAATATACATGTAAACCCTCTTGTGCCCTAGGTCTTATCTTCTTTTTTAATAACATTCATTTCAGAGCCAGGCACAGTGGCTCATAACTTTGGGAGGCCAAAGCAAGAGGATCACTTGAGCCCAGAAGCTTAAGATCAGCCTAGGCAACAACATAGTGAGACCCTATCTCTAAAAAAAATAAAAATAAATTAGTCAGGCTGGGCACAATGGCTCTTGCCTGTAATCCCAGCACTTTGGGAGGCTGAGGCAGGAGGATCACTTGAGGTCGGGAGTTTGACATCAGCCTGGCCAACATGGTGAAACCCCATCTCTACTAAAGATACAAAAATTAGCCAGGCGTGGTGGCATGCACCTGTAATCTCAGCTACTCGGGAGGCTGAGGCAGGAGAATCACCTGAACCCCAGAATTGGAGGTTGCAGCGAGCCAACATCACATCACTGCACTCCAGTCTGAGCAAGAGAATGAGTGAGACTCTGTCCCCAAAAAAAAAACAACAACAACAGGTTGGGCATGGTGGCTCATACCTGTAATCCCAGCACTTTGGGAGGCTGAGGCAGGTGGATCACCTGAGGTCAGGAGTTCGAGACCAGCCTGGCCAACATGGTGAAACCCTGTCTCTACTAAAAATACAAAAAATTAGCCGGGCATGGTGGCACACACCTGTAATCCCAGGTATTCAGGAGTCTGAGGCAGGAGAATCACTTGAACCTGGGAGGCAGAGGTTGCAGTGAGCTGACATCATGTAACTGCACTCCAGCCTGGGTGACAGAGTGAGATTCCATCTCAAAAAAAGCAAAGGAACAAAGTCGGAGAGCTGACATTACTATAAGGCTACAATAATCAAGGCAGAATGGCATTGGCAAAATAAGAGACAAATAGATGAGAATAGAATAGAGAGCCTAGAAATATACCTACACAAATATAGTCAACTATTCTTTGATAAAGGCTCAAAGGTAATTCAAAGAAGACAGCCGTCTTTTCAACAAATGGTATAGAAAGCGGACATTCTATGCCAAAAAAATGAATATAGACACAGATCTTACACTTTTCACAAAAATTAACTCAGAATGAATCAGAGACCTCAGTGAAAATGCCAAACTATAAAACTCCTAGAAGATAACATAGGAAAATATTTCGGTAACTTTGGGCTTATGATGACTTTCTAGACACAAAACCAAAACTATGATTCATAAAAGATAAAACTGATTAAGACTTAACTAAAATTTAAAACTTGATTTTTCTTAGGCCTTGCAATGGTTCTGAGTGGTCTGAAACCCTTACCAGATTCTGATGCCCACCCACCAGATGGTTGGCGAACACAGGGCACTTCAAATCTTAAGAACTTGCCTGATGACTGAAATGGGGT